CGCCCGCGCCCGCGCCCCCGCCGCCCCACGAGGGCCTGGCCGGCCGCAAAGCGTCCATCCTGGAGCCGCTGACCCGGCCGCGGCCCCGCGACCTGGCCTACTCGCAGCTGTCGCCGCAGTACCACAACCTGAGCTACTCCTCCAGCCCCGAGTACACCTGCAGGGCCTCCCAGAGCATCTGGGAGCGCCTCAGACTGAGCCGCCGGCGGCACAAGGACGACGAGGAGTTCATGGCAGCCGGACACGCCCTGCGCAAAAAGGTTCAGTTCGCCAAAGACGAGGATCTGCACGACATCCTGGACTACTGGAAGGGCGTGTCGGCCCAGCACAAGTCCTGAGCCCTCGCGCCCGGACCCTGCGCCCCTCCACTCCGAAACTCGTGACGCCCATTGGACCAAAAAGGATACACGATCCACTGCAGCTATTTGTAACCCAGAGACTCTCACCGTGAAACCCGACTCGCGCGCGCCCACACTCACACACGCACGCGCACGCACTCACACATGCACACGCACGCACACACATACACACCTGCACGCGCACGCATACACGCGTGCACCCACACTCACACACGCACGCGCACGTGCACATACACGTGCACGCACACACACGTGCACGCATGCGCACATGCACACACACGCACACGTGCACACACACACGCACACACACACAACGTGACAGCGATGGCTAAAGCCCAGGGCCTGCAGAGACAGCGGGGCGGGGGCTGCTGACTGTAACAACAGGCAGACATTCTGATGCTCGTGTAACCTGCCCTGAGATGTGCTCACTGACCAGTGTGAGTGGCGCGTCCACACACACGCACACACGCACCCACACACACAAGGGACTTCAGAAACTGTGTCTTAGGGAAGGGGGGGTGGGTGGGAATTTTTTTTCATTATCTTTCCTCTTTTGATTCTTCTTTGCCTTTTTTCGTTTCCTCTCTCTATTTTCTTCCTTTTTTAAAAAAAATATAAATAAAAGTCAAGTTCTTTTAAAAAAGACATAAAACACCAGTCATGGGGGTCGTGGCTGACGTGGCCACCTCAGTTCCTCCCGTGATCTCTTCAGTCCATGGTTTTATGTGGATTCTCTGTTCAGTCTGTCTCTTTGTTACCACCTCCGGAGGCCACCAAAGAGGGGCAGAGTGAATGCGGGCGGCCGAGTGGCCTCTGGGACACATACTGGAGCCCTGTGGGACTTGGGGGCTAAGGCTAGAGGCTGTGCCTTTGCCGGGCCAGGGGTGGCCCGGAGGGTCATGGATTGGGATGTGCGTCCCCCATCTCAGTGCCGATTGTACAGCGTAGTTGTTCTGTTGTACAGAAAAAAGATATTTCTATATTTGCAATGTTTGCTGTAAAATGAGAAAGAAAAAAAAGACTGTCTACTTAAAAAAAAAGTCTGCAAAGGAAAAAACCCAAATACTTGTTTGTACTGGGTTTTTACTGTGGGTTTCAGGGAATGATTTTGGGTTTCTTTTATGTCCAGTTTAGGGGTGGTTTTATTGATTTTGGCCTTGGGTGGGTCCACCACCGAGCTCTCTTCCCAAGGGAGTGCAGGTGGAGCCCATGGGGAGATGGGCCACCAGTGCTGGGGTGAAGAATGTCCTGCAGCTTTGAGAACGAGAGCTGGCATTGACGGGGCAGGAGGGAGCCCAGAGAGCTCAGAGGTGGCAGCAGGAGGCTGAGTGGGACAGGACCTTAGGTGTGTGAGAGGGATCCCAGGTGCCTGAGGCCACTCCGGTGGCTGTGTGTGTCTGTGTGTGTTACCAGGCATGTGTGGAGAACCAGGCTGTGGATGTGAGGGGGCCTGGAGCACCTGAAGATTTGTTTGAGTGTGAACTTGACACAGTTGGAGGGTGTGTCTGTGTGGGGGTGTCCCCCTGCAATGGCCAGAGCCCCACTCTAGAGGAAAAGAGACCCCTAATACTGCAGCCCTTAGGGAGGCTGGAGCCTGGAGCCGGCCCTCTTGGCCCACCAGCCAGACTCCAAAGCCCCCTCCACATGGCATCATACCCACCCCCCACCTCCAGACAGCCTGCTCTGGTGTGGCCCCAAATTCTGAGTGAATACATGGTTGGAGTACATTATGAACAGCACTAAATTATTCAAAGTCTGCAGAGGTGACCAGAGAAAGTCTCTGTGGCGAGCTCCAGTGCTTCCTGCTGCCGAGACTACAGGTTACCCCTCGACCCACCCTGAGGAGCCAGAGTGAGACATGCAGGAACGTGTCCAGGCCCTTGAGTGCATCTGCCAGCAGAGTGGGGGTCCTGTGCCTGCCCCCAGCCCTGGGTCCCACAAAAGCTGCCTTCTCGTGAGGGGGCAGGGCTCTTCAGGTAGGGAACACATCTCTCCTGGGGTCCCTTCCTCATCGCAGCCCTGGGGCCGGCTCTCCTGCCTGATGCAGGCCTGCCAGTGCCACATCTCCCGCCCACCACTCTCCACCTGGCTGGGTGTCCCCTCCCTCTTCTTCCTAAGGGCCCTGGTCACTGAGCACCAACCCCGACCCCTCCATCCAGGGCAAACACATTCCCAGTCTGAACTTCTGACAAAGACCCAGTAAGACCTGAGGCTGGAACTGAATCCTGGAGGCCATGGGGAGTCCTGGGAGACTCCAGAGCAGGGACCAGAGTGATGAAAGCAGGTTTTCAGATCTGATGGGTCACCAAGAAAGGACTCAGCCTCCATCCTGACACAGTGGGGCCAAGGAAGGAGGGAGGAAGGGTGGTGGAGGGGGGCTGGGACACCCTGAGGTCAGCAGCCTCTAAGTGCATATCCTTGGTGACAGGAGGCTCACTCCTCTCCTGGGTAGCTGTTCCCAGCTTTAGAGACCTTAACTTGAGCAGAAACCCTTGACTTGCCCCAGGTTCAGCTGTAGCTCCCAGGTCCCCAGGGCCCCAGAGCCGCAGACAGGGCCGTGTGACTCAGGTGACCCCATCAGTATCCAGCATGTGTGAGGCCTCCTTAGAGGGCACATGAACTGCAGTGGAGCCCCTGCAGAGTGAGTCATTTCTGGGGATGTGTGCCTTGCTTGTCTCTGTTTGACCCAACAGGCCTCAGGCCAGGACTGGGCTTCTGCCTCTGCAGCTCCTCCTCCAGCTCTGGACAGCTTCCACACTCTGGGAGGGGTCCTGGGAGGGCAGTGAAGGGGGCACTGAGGACAGGGGAGTAGACTGCAGATAAGGCCAAGCCTAGGGGAGCAGGGACAAGGAGAGGAGCAGGATCCAGAGCTGGCAGGAGGAGTCCCAGAGAGGGGCCTGTCTTGCCCAAGGTCACACAGCAACTCGGTGACAGTCCTGGTCATGGGACAGAAGGGGTGGCCAGGCCTTCTCAGCCTGCTGCTCCCTTTCACTGAGGAGATAAAGTGGACTATTTATAGGAAATCTGGGAGAAGGACACACAGAATAGAGGTGCCTGCCCTGGGAAGTCAGGGCAGCTGGCCAGACAGGCCAGGTGTGTGAAAGGGACAGGTCACTGCAGAGAGAGCTGCCACCAAGCAGGGAGTCCCAGGGGAGAGTCAGGGCCTGAGGAGGGATAAGGAAAAAGTGGCAGGAGGGATAGGGCACAGGGTCCTTGTTAGCAGGGATACCCAGCCTGGAAAACTCAGACCCTCCCAGGAGCACCCAGGGTGGCAGAGGCGGCTCCAACACTGAGTACCTGCCCAACACTGGCCAGCCCTGATGACAAAATCCATATGCCACCATGCCCTTGCTCGAAGGAAGTCATCATGGAGTTGATAAGACACGCAGGAGAAGATATACACACTTATTGAGTGCCTACTCTGTGCTGAGCACTGTGTGGGGAACAGGGAGGAGTCCACCCCAGCCCCTGCCCTCAAGGAACTCCCAGGCTTGCAGGGCACTGACATGGAGGGAGGTGACCCAGCTCAGAGCAACACAGGGCATGGGCGGTCCAGGAAAGATTGGGCACTCCTCCTAACTGGGAAGAGCCTGGAAGGCTTCCTGCAAGGGGTAGTGTGCGGTTTGGATAAGGGGAAACCACAGGTGAGGAAGAAGAGGTGGAGGCTACAAAGATGAGAGAGGCCAGTGTCCTCGTGGGCCCAGAACTGAGCTCAGAGTGCAGGAGCCAGGAGACCTGCAGGAGTGAGCCCTGCCCTGTGGCAAGGGCAGTCCTGGAGGGCAGCTCTTGTTTGTCTGTGGGATGGAGGGTTTGGAAGCCAAAAGCCTGGACTCAAACCTGGGCTCTGCCACTTACGACTGTGGGACTAAAGCAAGCCACCTAACCTCTCTGGGTCCCAGCTTCCTCATTTGTCCAATAGGAAGGAGTGCTGAGGTACCCCGACCCCCGCCACCACACCGGGTTACCATGAGTGTCGCAGTAGTGGTTGTATCTGTTGTCTATAGCCAAGAAAACACTGCATAACAAGCAACCACAACATACGTTATTGCTCGCATGTCAGCGGTGGCTGGTGGAGACAAGGCAGTGCTAAAGACTGAGCACATCTCCCCCCGCTCCGGCCAGTCAGCCCAGGCATGTCCTCATGGCAACGGCCGAGGGAGCAGCCCCCCGGTCTCATCTGCTGGTGCTCCAAGACCAGAGCAGGTCACAAGGCTAAGCTCAAAGTCAAAGCAAGGGATGGGTCACCCCGCCCCAGGGGCATGCAGCAAAGGGCATGGACAGGAAGGGCAGAAAAACGGGTATCTGTGCACAGACCACACGCATGACTGAGCCCACTGGGCAGACTGCAGGGTACAAAGAGCAGAAAACCCAAGAGGGACATTCCTGAGGTTTCAACCATCCATTCATTCATTCAGCATACAATTACAGAGTACCTGCTGTATACCAGACATGCTGGAGACACCAGTGACTCCTGTCCTCTACCCTCAAGAATGCTTCAGCCACATTCCCAACAAGAAAGAGGTGACAACACCCCAAAATAGAATAATTGGAGGGGGGTTGCCCACAAAGGAGCCATTTCCAGAGAGAGGGTAGAGGGAACCCACAAGGGGTGCCTCAGCCAAACTGATAGCACACCTCGGCCCACTGGGAGGAGATAACCAGAAGCTGGAAGGTGAGATAGTTGTGCAGGGAGGCCCACCAGGGCCCACTGAGAGGGACCTCAGTGAAGGGTCACAGCTGACCTGGGCAACCTCGCTCTCCTTCTTCCATCCCTCCCATCTTCTGCTGGGCTCCCATTGACTAAACAGCCAGAAAAACCAGTAGGCAGGAAGCCCAGCGATGGAGTCCATACAAATCAGTCCATAGAGAGCAGGGCGAGAAGGGTCAGAGGAAATGGGGAGGGGCAAACTGGAGAAGACCAGCCTTGGGGCAGGGGGGCTTGTGGAAGAGGCAACCACTTAATAGACAAGCCAGCATTCAATGACAGGGCACCAGGGGAGCAGAGGAGGAAGCCATCATTTCTGCTGGGAGGGAGGCTTCTCTGGGAACGTGATCACTCATGACCTTGAAGCACAAACAGGAATTGGCACA